TGTATAAAGGAAAACCCATCAGAATAACTCCTGACTTCTCAATGGAGACTCTGAAAGCTAGAAGTTCCTGGACAGACATTATGCAGACTCTAAGAGACCACAGATGCCAGCCCAGACTAATATAGCCAGCAAAACTTTCAATCACCATAGACAGAGAAAAATAAGATATTCCACAACAAAACCAGATTTAAACAATACATATTCACAAACTCAGCCATACAGAAAGTACTGGAAGGAAAAGTCAAACCCAAGGAAGTTAGCTGAACCCACGAAACAAAGACAATAGATAATCCCACACCAGATATCATACAAAAATACTGTAATTATATTGATGATTTCTCAGAGCCAGATATGGTGTCTTTCCTATTACTTTCCTATTATTAGCTCGACATTTAAGGTTCTAGGGTACACTGGCTAAGGTGACACATGTGTGTTTTCATCAGTTCTCCAAGGGGTGAAGTGAATAAACAAATAGCTGAAAAAGAAAGCACAGACCTGTTTGGCCTGTCTCTTTCTGGGAACTTCATTTTGCCTTTATGAGCAATCCACTCAGAATAGGCTAGCTTGGGGCTGGGAGGATGGCTCAATCAGTCCAGTGTTTCTCACACATGGGGACCTCAGTGTAATCCCCAGCAATCGATGAGGGTTGTAGTGAATGTGTAATCTCAATGCTGGGGAGTTGGAGATAGAACGATCCCCAGGGCTTGCTGGCCAGCCAAAATTGCCCAAATTAGTGAGCTCCAGGTTCAGTGAGAGACCCTGTCTCAACAGCTAAGGTGAAGTGTGATTGAGGAAGACACTCAGTTTAGACCTCTGGAATTTACACACAATGACATACAAACACAAAGGCACACAAAGAACAGGTTTGCCTGTGATGCTGAGATGAACGATCCCAAGATTTTAACTATTAAAATCACAAAGGTCTGTTTTTCATGCATGTCTATGCACAGGCATGAGAAACAACAAGTGGTTTAATGGTACAGACTAGTGAATCATGGCTGCCTACATTATGACCAGAACTGGCAGTCTACTACAGGGAAAAGAAATGTTAAACATTACTCTTTAAAACTTGTTTGGGGGTTTTGCCAAAGCATCACATGTATGTGTCTAAAATTTAAAGTGGAAAAGTCATGTAATCTCTATGCCAGGAGGGAAGAAATAAAACAAGTTTTAAAATGTTAAGGTTTAATTTAGTAATTATTTACATGTATACATGTGGGAATGTACACATGCATGTGGAGTACTCACAGAGGCCAGAAGAGGGCATCAGAGCCTGTACATAGATTTGGAGTTACAGGTGGTGATGAGCTGTCTGACATTGGTGTTGGAACTGAACCCAAGTCGTCTGGAAAAGCAGCAAGAGTCTGTAACCACTGAACCATCTCCCCAGTCGCCTATAACATTTTGAACTATTATTAACATGCATGAGCAAACATGAAGCCCTGAGCTAACTGCCTATAAGGCTGGATATCTGATGCTTGCACACACCTTGGCATATGATTTTCCTTTCAAGCCACTTTCACCCTGATGCAGAAACTTGTAAGGATGAGGAGTTTAGTGAATACCCTTTGCAAAACAATGTCCCAGCATACAGATGGGTTTGTGTATTCCTGCCTTTCAGACTTCACATTGACCACTGTTTACACTCTTAGAGCTGCACACAGTGATACAAGGAATAGTGCAGCAGAAACAGAAGAAAAGGGAGATGGCCACCGAACTTCAGGACTTGTGACTAAAGCCATTAAATAACATTTTGAAATCACGATGAGACAGTTCTTTGCTGTCCTGGGTCTCAACTCAAGATCAAAAGAAAGATAGCAGGGTATGAACATAGTTGAGTTATGGTGAGTTTCCCCATTTTCTGTCCTTAGTCTTATGTCTTAGACTTCACCTATTGGATTTGAAACCTTGAAAGTGCATGGTCTATGTATTTACTCCAATTTTAATAGTATATACAGATTCTATATCCTAACCCAAAATGGTATCAAATTGACTACATAGATAAGTCTAGCAGTGATCCCCCTGCCTCAGCCTACTGAATTCTAGGATCATAGTCATGTAGGCATTATATTTAATATTTTTAGAGGGAACCTGATCTAACTTTCTACTAAGATGGTTTGATGTGGACCTTTAGGTAGACAAAGTGAAGCCTGGGAAGTTTAAAGTCTTCTGGGATTAGTCATGCCATATATGATCCTAGAAATAAGGAGGTCTGAATTTGAACCTGGATTTCTCAGTTCTAGGAAGAAAACATGGATTCTCTTCAACTTGGATAAGTCATTTAACCTTTCTGAGGTTCAGCTTGCTTCTCTCTCCAATAATGATAAATATAGTAGTTACATTATAGATTTAGAATTAAATGAGAACACACCCACCCTTTTGTACTCGAAGTTTCCACATCTACGGATTTGATCTATCAAAGATTGGGGAGGAGTGTATATTTGTACATTTTATCTTTGTTATTTCCAAAATAATGCAGTATAACTACTATTTATTTTATGTCCGGTATTAAAGGTAATATAGAGGTAATTTAAAGAATATAGGAAATGTACGTAGATTGTATTAAAATGCTGCATCATTTGACATAGGAATTCGAGCATCAGGGGCATCCTCGAGAGTCCTAGGGCCTTTCTATCCCTTTTCTACTGAGGAGCTGTGTGTACCTACCTGTCTTTTACCATATTACCTGTCTCCAAGCAATGGCTGCATTAATACCATAAAAGGTGCTTCCTGTAACAGAATCTCGAATAACACCCTGCCCCGTCTCCTAATTCCTCGCTCTCTTCCCCATCGTGTCACGAAGAATGTTTCTTGCAACAGGGCGCCCAAACAATTCGCCCCACTGCACAGACTGACAAAGAGACTTCCCGGGTCCGCAGAGCTGCGGCTGCGTGGTCGCGCTTCTTCGGCTCGCACAGGAGGCCTGCGCTTGAGCCGGGCACGCCCTCTAGGATTTACCCAGAAGGCCACGTGTGCGCTCAGATCAATATGGCGGGGGGGGTGTCCGGGGGGGGGCCGGG